CTACCCTGACTACCAGCAGTGGATGGGCTTCAGTGACTCCATCCGCTCCTGCCGCCTCATCCCCCACGTGAGTCCCTTCTTAGCGCCCCCCTGATCTACATTCAGTTAGTAACATCTAAGATGAGCTAAGGCCGGGGATTAGGGTCAGGGGAGGGGGCGGGGGCGGGGGGGGTGTCCTCTATGCTTACTAAGTTCTCCAAGGGTCCCTCGAAAACATGTCTGAAGTAAAGTTCTCCACCGGTCATTTTCATTCACTTTGCTGAAATCAAATTCGCCAGGGCTGGGAGTAAACAGGCCTCCCGGCCATGGGCATGAATACCACCAACAAGCTGCTGGATGGATTGAGGCTGTTCACGCAGCTTCTGACTTCGTGTACTTATCAGGCCTGGTTAAACAGGGCTGAGCTTATGGGCGTAGCTAAGTTACATAACACCTGCCAAGGGATGGGGAAATGGAATTCCAAGGCTTCAGCGACATCCTGTTGTAGCCCCAAAGTCTGGATCCCATCTAAACGGGGGACATATCACCTCTGCGAGGTTGAAATCAGATATTAGGCACTGCCTCCCCCTGCCTCCTTCCCCACCTGCCCCCACCTCCCTCCTTTTCCTCTACCTAGCCACCCCACCCACTTCTTCCGGCTCCTTTCTGCTGACTCAAAGCCTTTAGTTTTCTCATAAAACAACATCTTGTCATAAGGGCTGCTCTCTGTGTGACCGGCTGTCCTGAGGACCAAATTTGTCTGTACACATGTGAGTCCTTTGCAAAGAGCCTAACACCGGCCCAGCAGAAGGTGCCTGACCAGCAGCTGCTTATTCCCGTGGCTAGGAGATCCCTTCCTACTGTAGGTTTTGAGGATTGGAAAGACTCTGAGACAAAAGCTCTTCTGGGAAGGAGCAGGGAGTTAGAGCCCAAGAGAGGGTTTGCCCAGGACAAGCTGCCTGACCTTGCATTACTCTCTTGATCCACACCGCCCCTTTCGAGATCCTGAACTTTCATTATTGGTGTTACCCAAAACTGATTGACCAGAAAACAGGTCAGAGCTGAGAGCTGAACCCCAATCTTTAGGATATCCTTCCTTTACAGCTTTTGAGGGCACCAAGGCCTGGGGTGACAAAGAATGGTGGAGGGATATCTGATCTGGGTTAAGCTTTCTTCTTGAATAGCTCCATCCTCTTCACAGGAAAAGACAGTTTGACTTCCTCTCTCTCCAGTTTCTCCTAATGCTACTGAGCTTCAAGATGGTGGCTTTTGCTAAGGATATATTTGGTTTTTCATTGTAATACCACATTATTTTTGTACCTTCCAAAGAGCCTCAGACCATCTTGAATCTAGGAGAGCCACAACAACAAAAAGAAGACTAAAACAAGCAGGAAAATAGTTGCTTAAAAATGGCGCTGAGGAGATTCAGTGTGTAGATGCCAATACCAGAAAATGGTTTATGTCAAAGGAGCGGTGGGTGGTGGTGACCTCTTGAGTTTCATTGTATACAACCTCTTGAACTATGCGGTGTGGTCCCTAGTATTAGCGGCCTTTCTTCCAACGCAGTCACCTTTGGTATAGAAAAGATATGGAGTCCACAACCCAAGCAGCCGATGCTGGATTGCCAAGCTCAGGTCGGGTTTTCTGACATCCCCTTGTCTACTCTGCGTGTCGTGTGTCCTACAGTCCAGCTCTCACAGGATCAGGATCTACGAACGGGAGGACTACAGAGGCCAGATGGTGGAGATCACCGACGACTGCTCCCACCTCCAGGACCGTCTCCGCTTCAGTGACTTCCACTCCTTCCACGTGCTGGAGGGCTACTGGGTCCTCTACGAGATGCCCAACTACCGGGGGCGTCAGTACCTGCTGAGGCCCGGGGAGTACCGACGCTACCACGACTGGGGCGCCATGAATGCCAGGGTGGGCTCTCTGAGGAGAATCATGGATTTCTACTGAAATATTTCTACTCTACCATTTTCTCCATCTGGACATTAATAAAATATTTCCTGTGTGTTTCATGCAATAATGGAGTCCTCTGTTCCTTACACCCTCAGTTGGGGTGGGCAGCAAAAAGACAGCCAGAAGTGATGTGGCTGATCTCAGACATGTTGGTGGGTGGGAAAGCAGAGGCAGATGAGGAAACATGCTACTTAAGACAGCACTGGACTTGGGGGGAGACCGGAGCTGGGGGTGTCTCTGTGAGCACCAGATCCTCCCTTCTGTTTTCTAGCTGGGGTGGGTTTAGGGTCGGGCAGAGGGGCTTGAAAAGTTTCCCTTTGGGGCCCACTATTGGCCAATACTAGCACAACCAGCGAGAAGTCAGTTCAAGAACATTCGGAGCACCATATCCATCTTTCCTGCCTGGCCATTACTGGGGAAGGGGGGAGTCCATGAGGCAGGGCAATCAAGAATTTAGAGAGAAAAATGACTGTATTTCTAGAAACCAAACCGCTGTAGTTACAGAAATAGTCACAGCTCACCCGGAATGGAGGAGGTTTCACAAAAAGTCATGGCCATTAGTTTCACATGGGAGTTACCCTGCCAGGCCTCAGATCTTCACCACACCTTGCTTTAACTACCCAGACAAGAATCTTTGGTCAGTGACCCAGACACGATGAACCAAGGCTTTAGAAGGAGGTGGGATACTGGAAAAGTTGCTTTCAGGGGAAGGGGCAAAGGAGTTGGAAGATAATACACAGAAAAAGGCAGTAACTCAGGCTGCCTTGCTTGCTTCTGAGCTCCCTGAGGCGTGAATCCCAGTGAGCTTCTCCTTCTTGAGGCAAAGGGTCATGGGGTTTATAGCACAGAGCTGTCTCCTTTACTGGCTCCAGGGAAAGGGGACACAACACTGTGGGGCTTGTCTCCTTCCTGATGAGCAACTCCTCATGGGAGATTACAGAACAGGCATTAACAACAAGGGTATAGACGAGATCTGGCCACTCAGAGCTGCTGAGGACCTGCAAGGGTCTGAGCAGAGATATCTCTCCACATAATAGGGTTAACAGAAAGTCTGCCTACAACGCACGATGTAAAAATGTTTACAGGGATCATTTTCACTCAACCCAGTGCCTAGGAGAAAGCATGGGAAACATGAAGCCAAATTTGCAGAATTTATTTGGGCAGCAGAGAGGAAAGGTGACAGAGGAAATGGCCAGAGAGCTCACATTGGATCAGGAGGAGCATAGCATCACTGATCAGATCTTACCTACGCCGAATGGCTCTGGTAGGTGGCTCACCATGGGTGTCTACAACCCCAGGATCAAAACCACACAGAAGCCGGGAGAGAGCTAAGGAGCAAACAACATCTCAAACCCATGTAAACAAGAACCATGAAAGGAAAAACTTCCGTACAAATACCAGCCCTGATGCCTTCACCCACGTAATGCAGGACTGCAAAGTCAGGGGTGTGAAAAGGTTGCACAAGAATTGACTCATGCTGCTTGAGACCCTTCCGTTCTGTGGCTCTTCTCATTTGCTTCCATCGGAAGTAACCCTCAACAACCTGATCTATTACGCAGGCCCTGCCAGGGTTTGTTTTTCGTTTTTTTGTATCTTTTTTTCCTCGAAAAGCAAAACGGAAATATTGACTGCAGTGTTTACTTGTCCCCACTGCTATGGGCCATTAACGTTATTTGAAGATGTTTAGGGAGTGGAGAAACGTGGTTTAGTGATTATGAGTGAGTACCACTTTTACCGAGGACTCGAGCTCAGTTCCCAGCACCTGTGTGAGGCAGCTGACAACCACTGTAACTCCAGCTCCAGGGGGTTCTTCTGCCTCTGGTCTTGGGAGGCACCTGTACTCATATGCACGCACACGCACACACACACACACACACACACAGAGAGAGACAGAGACAGAGAGACAGAGAGAGAGACAGAGAGAGACAGAGAGAGAGAGAGACAGAGAATTCAAAATAAGATAAATCTTTTAAAAGGAACTTAAAGAGAACTTGAGGCAAGGAAGAAATCGGAACTCATGTACTATTTTACCTGTCTAGGCATCCATGTATTCCTACTTTTTTCCCCCTAGCAGTTGCTCTGAGATCAAACAAAAGGCCTCATCTACACTAGGCAGTTCATACCACTCAATGTGTATAAAGCTTGCCTGGAAAACGAGATTTGGTGCCAAGGTGAAGATGGGCACCCTGCCTCGCCCTGCTCCTTTTTACGGGATTCTGACTGTCAAGCTTGGGCAGAACAGCTGTAGGAGCCCTTCTTGGGACAAGGCCTGCCTGATTTCTTAGCAGATGACTTTGGTAGGAGCCAGGAAAGGACCAGTGACAAGTAGACCGTGGACATATCCAAATTGCACTTTTGATTGTTTACAGTGGACTTACATGAAAATCAAGAAGACATTAACAGCCTAGGAGAAAATCTTTTTTATTACAAAAAATTTAGAGTAGAAGTACGATTAAATCCACTGTCAGTGGAACTCATCGTAATAAGTTAATTTCCTCTCACATAACAGCATAAGCACATTGTGTGGGACCGGCTTCTCAAATGTCACTATGGCTTATGGTTCTTCTTTCTTTCTTTCTTTCTTTCTTTCTTTCTTTCTTTCTTTCTTTCTTTCTTTCTTTCTTTCTTTCTTTCTTTCTTTCTTTCCTTCCTTCTTTCTTTCTTTCTTTCTTTCTTCATTCTTTCCTTCCTTTCTTCATTCCTTCCTTCTTCCTTTTTAAAAGTGCATTTGGTGTGTGTGTGTGTGTGTGTGTGTGTGTGTGTAGCAGTAGTGAATACAGTGTATGGGGGAGGCTCATGTCACAGTGTATGGGGGAGGCTCATGTCACAGTGTGTATGGGGGAGGCTCATGTCACAGTGTATGGGGGAGGCTCATGTCACAGTGTGTATGGGGGAGGCTCATGTCACAGTGTGTATGGGGGAGGCTCATGTCACAGTGTGTATGTGAAAACTACCTTTACATGGCTTCTGGAGCTTGAACTCAGGTCACCAAGCTTGTGGTAAGGGCTTTTACACACTGAGCCATATTGGTGACACCCTTCCTTCCTTCCTTCCTTCCTTCCTTCCTTCCTTCCTCTTTTCCTAATCCTCTCCTCCACCCTTCCTTCTTTAAAATGAAAACCTAGAAGCCTTTTATGACATACAGAAATTGAATGGATGAAAATTCCTTTGTTGTCAACTTTTTCAAGCCTTGGCCATGTCTTTTGAGGAAGCTTTTAGTCTAGAGAAGAGCGCCACCTTGTGCTCACTAGAAGGAAGGCAATTGTACAAAAGCCTTTTTCAGAATCAGGAATACTGAGTTTTATTTAGCACCTCCTGAATATACTGTAAATGCAGGGGAAATACAACTTAATTTTATTAAGCAAGCATAAATTGTATTTTAAAAGAACTATTGAACATGGCGTTTCATGAGAAGCTCGGCAATTGCAGGGGAAGGCTCTTTAATGGAGCAGCCAGCATTTGCATTGTGTTCAGTATCACTTCTTCCGTCTCTGAATGTCTGATTCCCATCTGACATATGAAACTTCAGGTTCATGAGGAAAGACATCCCATGACCTCCAAATAGTTCCTCTTCTCACCGTCAAGTCCAACCTCTAATTTTCTTACGGTTTCTCAAAACCACTTTTATAGTCTTCCTGTTCTTAGCACTGCAAGCGATAGTCTGCATCTTGTTGATCGACTTCATCTGGTTTTCTATCCATCACTTAGTGACTACACACACACACATGGGATCTTTATCCCGCATGTCGGCAGACACCTCAAATGGACCCTAGAGGTAGGAGAACACACACAATAATAACAAAAATTTAAAAAGAAAATAATGAAAGCTGTTGACTTACAACCTTAGTTGTCGCGCCTGCTACACAGCCTGTATCCGAGAATGTGGCAAGGGCGTCGGGATAGATGACACAGAGACCAGTCAGTTGTGTTAAGAAAACTTTATGCTCAGATTTTAATGGGGATTGCATTGAATCTGTACATTAAAATCCGAGCATAAAGTTTTCTTAACACAACCGACTGGTCCCCCTTCACAGACCTTGAAAGAACAATAATCAATTTTGTATGGAAAAACAAAAGACCCAGGATAGCCAAAACAACCCTGTTCAACAAGGCAATGTCCAGAGGCATCACCATCCCTGACCTCAAGCTCTATAATAGAGCTATAGTCCTGAAAACAGCTTGGTATTGGCACAAAAATAGACAAGTAGACCAATGGAATCGAATTGAAAACCTGGATATTAACCCACACACGAACAAACATCTGATCTTTGACAAAGAAGCTAAAAATATACAATGGAATAAAGAAAGCATCTTCAACAAATGGTGCTGGCATAACTGGAGGCTGGCATGTAGAAGAATGCGGATCGATCCATGTTTATCGCCATGCACAAAACTTAAGTCCAAATGGATCAAAGACCTCAACATAAATCCAGCCACACTGAACCTCTTAGAAGAGAAAGTGGGTGGTACCCTTGAACGAATTGGTACAGGAGACAGCTTCCTGAACATAACACCAGTAGCATAGACAGTGAGATCAACAATTAATAAATGGGACCTCCTGAAACTGAGAAGCTTCTGTAAGGCAAAGGACATAGTCAGCAAGACAAAAAGGCAGCCCACAGAATGGGAAAAAATATTCACTAATCCCACATCTGACAGGGGGTTGATCTCCAAAATTTACAAAGAACTCAAGAAACAAGTCTCTAAAACATCAAAGGACCCAATTAAAAAGTGGGCTGCAGAACTAAATAGAGAGTTTTCAATAGAGGAGTCTAAAATGGCTGGGAAATGCAAATCAAAACAACTCTGAGATACCATCTCACTCCTGTCAGAATGGCTAAAATCAAAAACACCAATGACAATTTATGCTGGAGAGGATGTGGTGAAAGGGGGACACTCCTCCATTGCTGGTGGGAGTGCCAACTGGTTCAGCCACTTTGGAAATCAGTATGGAGATTCCTCAGAAAAATGGGAATAAACCTACCACAAGACCCAGCAACTCCACTTTTAGGCATATATCCAAAAGATGCCCATTCATACAACAAAGATGTCTGTTCCACTATGTTCATAGCAGCTTTATTTGTAATAGCCAGAACTTGGAAGCAACCTAGATGTCCCTCACCTGAAGAGTGGATAGAGAAAATGTGGTACATTTACACAACGGAGTACTATTCAGCAGAAAAAACCAATGGAATCCTGAGATTCGCAGGCAAATGGATGACACTAGAAGAAACCATCCTGAGTGAGGTAACCCAGTCACAAAAAGAGAAACATGGCATGTACTCTCTCATATATGGATTTTAGACATAGATCTGGGGAGTGCCAGCCTACAATCCCATGGCCAGAGAGTCTGGGAAACAGAAACTTCATTTAGTGGCTGATCAAAGAAGAGGCAGACTCCCTCGGTTAAGTACTGAGCTGAACTCAAGAAAGCCAGTAACAGAGAGGGAGGACTGATGACCAAAGGGATTAAGACTGGGCTGGTTTAACCCCCAGAAACAGCTGACCTGACAAAGGTTAACTCTTGAATCCCAGGCATCAGCCTGGGAATCCAGCATGGGACTGATCAAGACCCCCTGAATCTGGGTGTCAGTGAAGAGGCCTAGGGAATCTATTGAGCCTTGGGCACAAGCAGATCAGTACCCATCCCGAGTATACACATGGACTTTGGACTCCCATAGAACAATGTGAGGTGCACTCTCACCCTGAACTCTTGGGGAAGGGTCTAGGCCCTGCCCTATATGAAATGACAGACTATGGACACCCCCATGGAGGGCCTCACCCTCCCTGGGGAAATGAGGGGATAATGGGGGGGTTGGGGGAGGGCACGGGAGGAGGGGAGGGAAAGGGAGAGGGACCTGGAACTGACTTGTGAAGCAACCTTGTTTCTTATCTAAATTTAAACTGAAAAATAAATAAAAAAAAAGGAAAAAGAAACTCCATCCTAAAGATGTATTAAAAAAAAAAACTTTATGCTCCCCAAATCGGCTTAGGAGGACTTCCCAAGAAAAAACGCTTCCCTCCAGAAAAACTTTTGCCATCATACACGCACAAATCTCCAACAGACCTCTTACACACCTCTCCTCTTTCCTCCTGCTTGGTGGTTAAATCTCTGGCACCAGAATCGGGAACAGTAGGGAGCAGAAAGAAATAGCTAGCCATCGGGAAGATTAAAGTTAGGATGTTTTAGTGAGTGAGCCCTTATTAAGCCCTTATCAGGAACTTATGACATTAGATTGTTTTTAGTAAGCATTGTCTCGCAGCTGCCTGCTCCCAGGCTGATGGAGGAGTGGGTTTCCGGCCAGGTTCTGTGATCCCCACACTTAGTTATTGATGTGTCTCATTGCATTTAGTAAGACAGGGTTCATTGAATTTTTGGGGGTTCTCAAATCATGACTGCTCCTCATTTTGTCTTTCCGAAGTGTGACTAGTGAATAAGCATTTCTTCTCCTTCAGTGTGGGAGACCATCCATCCTTACTATCCACATTGGGAAGACTCTTGAGCATGAGTTGCTAAACATGATGGAGACTTCCCTCCCTCCAGATGGTGTGAATCTGTATTTGGTGGGGTGGTTGAGAAGCAGTGGTCCTGCCTCCAGGTACTTGTCTAATGTCACAGATCTACAAATCACAAATGAGGACATTTGCTTCTCTTGATGACTAAAAATAACAGACAAATTACAGAGAATTTATAAAATAAAAGGATAGTTTATCTGATGTAGTTTCATTGATTTTTATGTAATTTCATGTCTGTATTTTTACTTACAAGATTAAAATTGTTTCAACACATGGATTAAAATACACATTTTAAATGTATTTTGTTCAAGTTATTAAAAATTATTCAAGAACCCTGGAACAAGTTCTGATTTTTAAGAAATTGTGGCGTACATCTTTAACCCTAGCACTGAGGTAAGTAGATCTCTATGAGTTCAAGACCAGCCTGTAACATGAGTTCTAATAGGTCTTAATAAAAGCCCAGAGTCAGATACAGGGGAAAATACTGGAAGATCAGAGAAAAGAAGGAACAAGCCGTAGCCACATCTTGTCTTGACAACTTCCTAGCCAAAAAGAGACTGAGCTCTGGTCTCCTCTCTATTATCACTTCCTCTCTTTTCACAGTCATCTCACTTCCTGTCTGTCTGTACAGACCTCCAGACCTCTATGGTCAACTAGTGGCTCCAGCTCTGCCCTCTGATCATCAGGCAAGCTTTATCTGTTAGAGTATAAACAAGATACCACTATGCCAGCCTGGTCTACAAAGCAAGCTCCAGGTCTACAAAGCAAGTTACATAGAGAAACCCTGTCTTTAAAAAAAACTTATTAACTTATTTATGTTATCATCAAAGCATGTTTGGATGGTTTTACTATTTGGCAGTGGTGTGCATTCTTTTGTTTTGTTTTTCAAGTAAAACTTTGTTGATTATCTTTTGTTTTCCAGGCATTGTTTTCTAATAACCTAGGAAAAATTGGGCTAAGTTTACATGCAAGTGCTTTGAGTATGTAAGTCTACTGCAAGAAGTAGTCTACAAACAGAGCAAGAAGCATGCGATGAGAAACGGAGGGTGGGTACTGGAGGAGGCTCAGGGATTAAGAGTGTGCACTGCTCTTGCAGCTTGCAGCTCAGGGATTAAGAGTGTGCACTGCTCTTGCAGCTTGCTTCCCAGCATCCTCACTGACACCTCGCAGGGGTCTGCAACTCCAGCTCCAGCACATCCGACTCCCTCTTTGACTCTGTGGACACCTGCATTCACGTTTTATCTCTTTTTGTTTTCTTTGTTTTTTTTTTCCTATTTACTCTTTTTGAACCTTATATTTCTTTTTTTTTTAATCAGTTCTTTGAGAATTTTGTTCATGCTGTGCTCAGATTTACCAGTCCCCTCAGATCCGTCCCCCATTCCCTACCCATTCATGAAAAAAAAAAGACAAAAACAAAACAAAACAAATGCCCTCTGTGGGTTGAACAACTTTGACTCCATTGAAACCTGAGCAGTTGCAGTGATTATATTCACGAGACCATTCCACACCACCTGGATAAGGGTGGCTGCACCAGTATGACCTCTGAGAATGCTCCCCTCAATCGCATGTGTCATCACCGACAGGAGATTTGCTCCTGTTTGACCCAGACTCATGGGGTCTCCAGATTAGAACTACCCAAGTGTAATAGAGAAGGTGGTCTTCTTACCGTTCCTTGGGGACTTACCATATGGACAGTCCTGTTTATCCCAGGCTCTGTTTGTCCTTCAGTTTCAGCCTGTTTGGTGAAAATGGAAAGCAGCTATCAGTGTCACTGCGGTGCTTTGAGTCTGATCGCAAAGGGATTAGTGACATGGATTATTTCTGTGATTCAAGGAATTATGGTCCAGGTAAAATATCTGTGGTAGAATTTACTGGAGATGTGGTTTATGAAAAATGGTGAGTCTATTGTGTTCCTCTGAGGAGCAGGGGATGAGCGCCACACACAAATTCCAGACCTGTGCTGAAATAGGATGTGTTTTTCCTACTGTTCTTTTAGAAACATTTACCTAAAAGGAAAAACACAACTCTGTTTTATGGGTGAACTACATTTTAAAAAACAATGCTAAATCCTCACTCCATGTTTCTGCTCAGGACATTTGAATTAAGAAGACTGCAACAGGGAAATATGTTTCTCATGGGAAAACGATTCCATTCTGACTTGTCAGATTACTCAGCGAGTGGCAAGGGCTAACACCTAAAGCTTGAGTCACAGTTTTCTTCTGCAGAAGACACGATCACAGAGACATCTTGACCTCTTTTGAGGGAGTTTTTATTCATAGCATATGTAGCTTGAAAGAGACAAAGACTCCACAACAGCCAGTCTCAGTAAATGTGTAGGGGTCCTCACAGTCTAGAGGAGGACAGGGCTCAAGAGTGCCAAGGGGGAAACGGTTGGAACTGGAGGGATGGCTCAGTGATTAAGAGCACTGGCTAGCTACTCTTGCAGAGGAAGTGGGTTCAAGTCCCTCCCAGCACCTACACAATGGTTCACACTGTAACTCCAGTTGCAGAGTATCCAACATCGTCTGCTTGTGTCTGGAGGCAGCAGACAAGTGATACATAGACATACATGTAGGCAAAACAGTCACACACATAAGATAGAATAATGTCTTAAATGGAAAACTGCCCCCTCAAAAGGACATTAGACTGATTACATTAGAGAAAATAATTCCTGGAAAATTGTGTAGGATCTTTGATGACTGGAGTTCGATTGATCCCCATGGTGGAAGGAGAGAACTGACTCTCACGGGTCTCCCAAGGACTGCCAGATGTACAACACACGCACACACACATACAAATAGCACACACTAAACATACATACATACACTACATCACACACTAAACACGTACACACACTACACCACATATACACTATACCACACATACACTACACACATAGACACACTATGCCACACACACAAATAATAAAAAATAAGAAAAATTCATAATTCATCTTCATTCTTATTATCTTCTTTGTTGGTAAGATTAATAAGATCCATGTGGCATTGAAAACAAACTCATTTTGATTATATTCTTCACAAGACATTTTTCTTAAAACTATGAAACATACATGTAAATTATACATATAAAACCATATCTAAACATGGAATTTTTCTCATCACATTTTTAAATGAAGGTAATGATGGTGAAAAAGATGCCATATGCCACACTGGATACAAGGGTAAACAATTATATAGAGTAGAGGTGATGTATGCTTTACTCCTAAGAATGTTTTCTCTCACAATAGGACCAGGACAAACATTTATGTAAATAGAGCTTTACATGTGACATTTGGGGGTCATGTAACTTTTTTAGTGAGTCACAGCACTATTATTCCTTTTATTTGTATTAAATACAACACATTGAACTAAATTAATATTATTGCAGGTATTTCCTAAAGGTTTATTTTAATGTCAATATGTGCGTGTATAGGTGCCTGTGTGTGGGTATAGGCATTCTGCCTCAAGGACAGAGGATGCTGTGGTACCCTATGGGACTGGAGTTACTGATAGTAGTGAGTCACCTGACATGTGTGCAGGAGACTGGACTTAGGTGTTACTGAGGTACGGAATCATTTCTGTGAATTGTACAGATACATGTGTGGGTCAAATGAATAGATGACATTGTATCAGTCTGTTTCAAGCTATTTCTGTTATGCTAAGCTGTGCAGATACATTAAAAAAATAGTGGTCAAGTTCTACCATATCTTAGCGGTTAGACTCCATTAACAACAAGCTAATGCAAAAGATAAATTGGGAGTGACTGCTAAGCACACTTCATCATAAAACCAAGGATGAAAATGTACCATGGAGCATCACCCAGCAAAACAAGATGATTCTTCTTTTAGTTCCTGCTTATGCAAGTCATGCATGAGACAGGCTTTTCACAGAGTGTGAGAGCAAAGCCTTGAAAGAGCTGAATCAACAGAGGTCTCTTTGACCATGACTCTAAGGTTTGGACTTTCTGAGTAAAGTGACATTTCTCCGAGCAGCATTCTGAAGTTGAATTCAAAGTGTGATTATTTTTTATGAGCAGTTGGTTCTTTCGTACGTGTACAACTACAATGATTTCATTGTCCTCTTAGAATTTATTCTACATGAAAGAGTCTCAGGTCAGAATGCAACACACTGCCATCAAATGTCATTGGCCACTTGTACTCATTGATGTAGATATAATTGCAGAATGACCTTTGTAGGCCTTATAGAGTTGAAAATAATTACATTAGAAAGGTAGGGGAGCCAGGCAGTGGTGGTGCACATCTTTAATCCCAGCACTCGGGAGGCAGAGGCAGGCAGATCTCTGTGAGTTCGAGACCAGCCTGGTCTACAAGAGCTAGCTCCAGGACAGCCTCCAAAGCCACAGAGAAACCCTGTCTTGAAAAACTGAAAAGAAAAAAAGGGGGGGGAAGGGGGGGCAATAAGAAATTATCTAGCCTTTGTAATTTCATTGAAAAAATTCTGAAATTTTCTTCATAAATTTTTATTTAAATTAGAAACAATCTTTTTTAAGTTGTTTTTTAATTTAAATTAGAGCAATCTTATTTTGCATACCAATCCCAGTTCCCTCTTCTTGTCTTCCCACTCTGACCACCATCTCCCCATCCCACCCCCTATCCACAACTCCTCAGGAAGGGTGAGGCCTCCCATGGAGAATCATTAAAGCCTTCACATCATTTGGGGCAGGACTGAGGCCCTCCCCACTGTATCTAGGCTGAGAGAGTATCCCTCCATAGGGAATGGGCTCCAAAAAGCCAGTTCATACACTAGGGATGAAAACTGGGTCCACTGCCAGCAGCCCCATAGACTGCCCAAGCCCCCCACCTAACACCCACATTCAGGGGATCTGGATCAGTCCTATGCTAGTTTCCCAGCTATCAGTCTGGGATCCATGAACTCCTCCTTGTTCAGGTCAGCTTTTCTGTGGGTTTCTCCAGCATGGTCTTGACCCCTTTGCTCATCAGTCCTCCCTCTCTGTTGCTGGATTCCAGGAGTTCAGCTCAGTGTTTAGTTGTGGGTGTCTGCCTTTGCTTCCATCAGTTACTGGATGAAGGCTCTAGGATAGCATATAAGGTAGTCATCAATCTTATTTTGGGGGGGAGGGCATTTTAGGTAGCCTCTCCACTATTGCTTAGATTCTTAGTTGGGGTCATCCTTGTAGACCTCTGGACATTTCCCTATTGCCAGATTTATCTTTAAAACTATAATAGCTCCCTCTATTATGGAATCTCTTCTCTTGCTCTCCTATTCTTTCCCTGACTCAATCTTCCTGCTCCCTCATGTCTTCCTCTTCCCTCTTCTTCTCCCCTTCTCTTTCTCCTAACTCCCTCTCCCCTCCTTCCATGCTCCCAATTAGCTCAGGGGATCTTGTCCCTTTCCCCTTCTCCGGGGGACCACGTATGTCTGTCTCTCTTAGGGTCCTCCTTGTTTCCTAGCTTCTCTGGCAGTGTGGATTGTAGGCTGATAATCCTTTGCTCTATGTCTAAAATTGATACATGAGTGAGTACATACCATGTTTGTCTTTTTGTTACTGGGTTACCTCACTCAGGATGGGTTCTTCTAGTTCCATTTGCCTGTGGATTTCAAGATCCCATTGATTTTTTTCTGCTAAGTAATAAGCACTCCATTGTGTAAATGTACCACATTTTCTTTATTCATTCTTCAGTTGAGGGACATCTAGGGTGTTTCCAGGTTCTGGCTATTACAAATAATGCTGCAATGAACATAGTGGAAAAGATGTCCTTGCTGTATGAATGTGCATCTTTTGAGTATATGCCTAAGAGTGGAATTGCTGGGTCTTGTGGTAGACTGATTCCCATTTTCCTGAGGAACCACCATACTGATTTCCAAAGTGGCTGTACAAGTTTGCACTCCCACCAGCAATGGAGGAGTGTTCCCCTTTCTCCTTATCCTCTCCAGCATAAACTGTCATTGGTGTTTTTTATTTTAGCCATTCTGACAGGTGTAAGATGATATCTCAGAGTTGTTTTGATTTGTATTTCCCTGATGGCTAAGGATGTTGAGCAATTCCTTAAGTGTCTTTCAGCCATTTTAGATTCCTCTATTGAGAATTCTCTGTTTAGTTCTGTACCCCACATTTTAACTGGATTATTTGGTGACTAGCTTTGAGCTCTTTGTATATTTTGGAAATCAGCCCTCTGTCAGATGTGGGCTGATGTTTTGTCTTATTGACTGTGTCCTTTGCCTTACAGAAACTTCTTAGTTTCAGGAGGTTCCATTTATTGTCAATGTCAGTATCTGTGCTATTGGTATTATGTTCAAGAAACAGTCTCCTGTACCAATTCGTTCATGGGTACTTCACACTTTCTCTTCTAAGAGATTCAGTGTGGCAGCATTTATGTTGAGGTCTTTGATCCATTTGGACTTAAGTTTTGTGCATGGCAATAGATATGGATCTATCTGCAGTCTTCTACGTGCCAATATCCAGTTATGCCAGCACCACTTGCTGAAAATGTTTTCTTTTTCCATTGTATAATTTTAGCTTCTTTGTCAAAGATCAGTCGTTCATAGGTGTGTGGGTTAATATCAGAGATTTCAATTGGATTCCATTGGTCTACTTGTCTATTTTTGTGCCAATACCTAACAGTTTTCAGGACTATAGCTCTATAATAGAACTTGAAGTCAGGGATGGTGATGCCTACAGAAGTCCCTTTATTGTACAGGGTTCTGTAGGGGTGAACCCACAATACTGTCCATGTCCAAAGGGACGGGGCAGGTG